TAGTAGGAAGTCGATTAAAAAGTCCCTAAGAGTTAGAAGTCAAGAAGTCGCAGTATGGGCATGAGAACTGGCAGTAAAAGCTAAAATGATCAGTTAAAAGAGTGGAAAATGGTTGCATCTGGGAGTTGGAAAGTGCTGGAAGGTTAGGGAGACTCCAGTTTTAATGTATAGAACTTGTCAAGCTGTTTGACTCTTCAACCATGAAAGCTAAAAACTAATTTTAGACAGATAGATTAATGGTATCAGAATTATTAGTGCTAATTGCACTAGTAAGAGTTTTGTAAATTTTTTAAATATAAGATTGATGTTCAGATTCAACTACAACCTTACACTGTAGTCAAAGCTCACTGAAAACAGCAATAACAACTTTAGAGATTCCACAAAAGATGAAATATTAAAGATACCTAAACTGGAGATACATAACACCAAGGTGAAGAATATTGTAAAATTGTACACAAAAGTAATAAAAAGAACCCTAAATAAATAGAGGTATAGCATGTCCATAAAAGGGAAAATTCAATATTTGAAAAGATGTCACTTTGCCCAAGTTAATATATAAATTCAATGCAATCACATAATAATAATAATTCTGAAAGGATTTTTCATGAATTGACAGTGATTCTAAAATGCTTGGGGGCCAAATAACCATGATAGTTTTAAACAACAGAAAGGGTGAGAAGATATGCCCAACAGAGCTGTCAAAACTTATAAAGGTAGTCTAACTAAGACAGTGTCGTTTTAACAGAGAGGTCGACAAGAGCCTTAATGAAACAAAGACCTCTTAAGAGAACCGCAAATTTATGGAAACTTGATAAAGGCACAGGTGACAACACAGATCAGTTGATGCTGGATAATTTATTATGAAAGAAAAAAATAGGATCCGTACCATGTATAGAATGCACGTGCATGCACGCGCACACACACACACTATACATATACATATATGTGCACATATTGTAGCAAGAAAAAGGCATAAATGGAAAGAGTTAAATTTGGTAAAAAATTTCAAATCTTTTTTTTTTTTAAATAACAGAAGCTCCCAATGATACCTACACAGCTGCTTTGTGGACTAACTGGAGGAAGAAGAGGGACTCTCCCATATATGTGCCGAGGAAACAAAGATAAGAATGTTTGTTGCAAAGCTGTATGAGCAAAACATTGCATAAAGCTTCAATATTAGTCACAAGATTTGATACACTGTGGCATATTCTTATAATATAAAACTTTAGAGCAGAAATTAATAAAATGGAGCTACATATACCAAAGTGCATTTATCCTACCACTGTGTAAAGCATAAAAACGAAAAGTTCCCAAATGCTTTGTACAGTATCAATAGAATTTATATAAAATTTAAAACATGCAAAGTAATATTACATTCTGCTTAAAATTTTATAGGTACGTTGGAAAGGTATAAAATCATGCTTGAGATTATAAACACCAATTTCCAATCTCAGGATAGTATTTTAAGCAGGAAGAGCAGACTATAGCAACAAAATGTTATAACATTCTGCGAATATAGGATGGTAGGTTTTTGGATGTTTTTAATGTTATTCTTAACAAATTTGAGAATAGGAAAATGCTTAGTGAGCTTAGTCATTTCAAAATACATTTGCATCAAAATGAAATCAGACTTGCAACAGCTTTAAAAATGAAGGGTTGTTCATGATCTGCCTGATTCTCTATGGGGTGGAGGCAGGGCGCATTTGGAGCTCATCAGTGTCCAGCCATCCCCAAGTTCCCATGACCAAAGTCTGTCCTTGACTCAGCTCCAAAGCTCAGAGAGAAGGAACACCAGGAGGGTGTGTGGAAGGGGACATGTGCGTAGTGGAGGAGAGTGCAGCAGAGGGAAGGGCAGGGGTCTCGGGTCACCTGAGGTCCTTAAAGCTTCTTCACCCCACTTGAGCCCTTTGGACAGGGCAGGAGGTAGTGTATGGCACAACATGACAGATCTGTAGAAAGAATCATTCATTCATTCATTCATTTATGTATTAATTCCGCGAATATTTACTACCACCTATTGTGTGGCAGGCACTCTGCTTGGCCTGGGTTCATGGCGCAGATCAGAAATGAAGCCCCTACTCATTACACCCCAGCACCTCTTGCTGAGTTCTGAACTCCTCTCATACCCACGTTCATCTTTGCCACCTGTCAGCACCTCCAAGTCCCTTAGGAAGGTTGTATTAGTTGATTATAGCAATACTTTTCTCATTCATTCCAAGGATAGATCACGTGATAATGAAATCCATAGTAGTTTATGAGGGTGCTCTTTTGGGTCCTGATCTCAATACTTTGACCTTTATCCCACCTCTACACCTTGGACCCTCACCTTTAGGGTCCCAGAAAACTTAATAGGAAAACTCTGAAACTCCAGAGCGCTACTCAATGCATGACAGTTGGAAGCCTCTGAGAATTCCAAGATACATTTGGAGAAAATGAGATTTTTCAGAACCTTCCCTTGAGGCTGGATCATCGGTGTGACTTTGTGCGCTCACTCTGGACTCCTCTTGCCAGCCCAGGAAAGGGGCCCTGATCTCCCTCCCTAAGGACTAAGGCTGCCATCAACTCACCTGTTACAGGTTCTGCCACCTGCACATGTAAGACCATGAAACCGATCACCAGCAGCACTTTGAAACCCAGGAGGAAAGCTACAGAGATAAGGGCAGGCGTCGCTGGACCTAAGGGACAACAGGCAGAGGAGACAACAAATGGAGCTCTTGGGTGTTAATTCCTCACTCCACCTGGAGACAGAAGTGACCCAGTTGCTCACAGGATTAGATGTGAGCTTACCTGGGCTCCCAAGGGGGTTGTCTGTGCTGTGGGCTGCTGCGGACAGTATGAGGCTGGCCCGGGTGGGAGGCTGTGCCTCGTGCTACACCTTACAGGTGAGCACACGCTCGGACCCCTGCACCGAGGCGTTCACCAGCTGCAAGCTTTCCGGGGTGTAGGTCCCATCACTGTTCTGCTTCGGCGTGGGCTGCTTCTCTCCCTGGAACGCACGGCAGTTCTCCATCCAGGTGAGACACATGCTCTGGGGGTAGAATCTCTGCACGTGTCAGTTAACGGCCACCAAGTCCAAGGCGGGTGAAGCTTGGGACACTGTCACTGCAGGGGAACTGGCACAGCCCAGAGAAACCAGACAATGACCGTAGGAAGTTTACAGTGGGCCCCATGATTGGGGGCTGCTCCTTGAGGATGGGTCATCTGCCCAGGGCCTGCCCCAGAGGAGGAGTTAGGTATTGGTTAACCCATGCCTGAATAATATCGCGTGATTGAACGTGGGAATGCATGAGTGAATGTGTGTCTGGATGGAAGCATGGAATCATGAAAGTGATCCTAATTTGCCTTTCTTTTCTACTATGGTCCTTAAAGACCAAAAGTGATCCTGAGTTCCATGTAAGAACCTATGAACCCTTTGAGTCACTCCATGACTTGATGAAGATTCCTAGACTCTAGTCTTCATGATTCCAAGATGCTAATATTTGACATAGGAAGGAATGTAGGTTTGGAGAAGTGAAGTACTGGCACAAGGCCACAGGAGGCAAAACTGGGCTTATGGCAGGGACCGTATGTTTACCCCGTGCTATTCTGACACCCAAACTGGAAGCCTGTAAGCGTTTATGTTCAAGGCTTCTGAGATTATGATCTAACAACTTCTGGAATTTTTTCCCTAACCAGTTTTACAATTCTGCAATAGAATGTATTCCTTCCTAGGAAAATTAGGAGGATTAAATAACTAAATAATGTGAGTTAATAATATAAAAGCTAAATATCTCAGTATAAGTCATAGGAAAGCACAGCTTGGTGCAGTGCTTACACTCAACCAAGGGGTGGCAGAGCCGGATTGTGGCCCCTGCGCTGACACCAGTGTGCATTGGCCATCAGCAGGGTAAGGTGTGAATCTGGAGGGCACAACCTTTCGATATGTATATACTCCAATACTTTGTATATTTGTTGCTTCAAATGTTCCAGCTTTGTCCATTGTGACCTCTTACTGTTGGTTCCTGAGCACCTTTGACAAACTCCAGTTAATGATTGGTTTCTGGTTTTTGGTGTTGGTTTTTGGTTTTATTTTCTTTTGGTGTTTCCCTTTCTCACTTTTTAAAGGTTATTGAATTTTTGATAGGATTTCTAAACACAAAGAAGAGAGGTTTTCCTTTAATGAAAGAACCTTAGAATACAAGATCCAGGTGATTGAATTAGATAATTTTTATTTGAAATCCAACTCTAGTGGAAACTCATTCATTCATTTATTAAAATAACCATTAATGGCCTAGTATGTGGCGATCATGTTCTGGCAACTGAGGAGTCAGAGTCCCTTCTCATGGAACGGACAGCCTATATGAGGAAGAGACAACACGTACATCAGGGTTCATCTTGCGTGGTGCATGAATTTCAGTTTAGATCAATAGCATGAATCCCCCAACACGCAGTTCAGAATTCACTTACCACAGGAAAGTTACTTTGCACAATTGCATCAAGTATAACTGTTTTGCTGACTCTACGTCAGCCCACAGATCACTGTGTACTAACAGATGCTCGTCGTGGTCAGTAACCAATCACGTCCATACTTTGAAAGCCTGTAGTAATTGATCACTGTGACTCTTGTTACTCAGCTTAGGCCCAGACAGCAACGTATGTGGACGTGTTGCCCACTGTCTCCCAGTGATCAATCCATATGAATTTACAAAAATGACTCATTGTAAAAGGGAACTGACGACGAAGACGAGAGTGCAATGGAGACGCAAAAAGTGGTGATGCTGGAAGTGACATTCCAACTGAATGTAAGTGGATTAGAGAAGAAATCTCTGACCCTGGGAATGGTACACGCAGACGGTTAGAAAGATTCTAGATACGCATCCAGGGGAACTTAGTGAAGGCAAAGCTACCACGGAAATGAGGGAAATGGTGGTGAGGAAAAGGGTGAAAATGTCCCAGAGGAAGTCACAGCAGCAAATACTTCAAACTGAAGGAAGTTTTGCGAAGATTCCACGATGTTGAACGTACAGAGCATAAAATGTTGGAAACTGATCCAAATATAGCAAGACGTCTGATAATTCACCAAGGCATAAAGAAGATGCTGTTATACTGTAGATTAGACAAGAAGGAGAAAGGAAGCCCTGTTCAAACGTTCGGATAAGATTTTTTGTGCTTGTATGTTTACTAATTTTCTTTTTTAGTGATGGTTTCAATATGATATATTTTCATTATCTAAAAATTATGAATAGAGATAAATAAAAATAAATTGAAAATGGCTGAAAATACTTCTGATAAGCTTTTATAAAGAAATAAAATTGCTTTAATTCTCAAGGTGTCGAATGTGTCAAACTACATATGATTAGTTTTTCTCCTTTTGTCTGTGTATTTAAATCTGAAAGGAGGGGAGATTCTAAAGTTTTGAAAAAAGTGTCTCACATCAGAATCATTATTTATACCACTGATTACTGGGATCACTTTTTATGACGCAGTATATGCAGTAATTTTTATGGTCCTCTTCTGTGTGAAGTGAGGACCGCCTATGTTCTGTTATGTCAGATGGTAGTAAGTGCTCAAGAAGCAATTAATCAGGTTAAGAGGACATGGAATGCCAGGGTGAGAGAGGAATTGGTATTTCATACTGGGCCATCTATGGAAGGTACCTTTTTTTTTTCATTTTATGTATTTATTTTGCTTTTCACTTAATAAACTTCAGCTTTTCCGTATTTTATAATTACTTTGAGTCTATCTGTAACATTGATTTTTTTAACATTTTTTATTGATTTATAATCACTTTACAATGTTGTGTCAAATTCCAGTGTTCAGCACAATTTTTCAGTCATTCATGGACATATACACTCATTGTCACATTTTTTTCTCTGTGACTTATCATAACATTTTGTGTATATTTCCTTGTGCTATACAGTGTAATCTTGTTTATCTATTCTATAATTTTGAAATCCCAGTCTATCCCTTCCCACCCTCCACCCCCCTGACAACCACAAGTCTGTATTCTCTGTCTGTGAGTGTATTTCTGACCTGTATTTACGCTTTGTTTGTTTTTGTTTTTGTTTTTTAGATTCCACATATGAGCGATCTCGTATGGTATTTTTCTTTCTCTTTCTGGCTTACTTCATTTAGAATGACATTCTCCAGGAGTATCCATGTTGCTGCAAACGGCATTATGTTGTCGGTTTTTGTGGCTGAGGGAAGGTACCTTTGATGAAGTGACACGAGCAGAGACTGGTAAGAAGTAGGAGAGTGAAGCAGGCAGGTATGCTGGGGGAGGAAGCAGAGGAGTGATAGGATTTAACTGACTTTCCCAAAGAATCACTGAGCCAGAAACAAGGAAGCCAGTCAGAGACCACAGCAGTAGTGCAGGAGGAGATGGTGGCTGGGACCCGGGAGTCGTGGTCAGGGTGAGAATGTGCCGATTATGCATACAACTGAGTGGTGTGCTGGAGAAGGCTTGGACTAGCTTATGAGAACCCACTGTTACCTTTGCAGGAATCCTACAAGCTGCTTGTTGAAGTGATGGTAACTTGAAATTGGCCACATTGAGAGTATTTACAGCGAGAAAGTGGTAAGTCCTACAAATCAGGCTTTCATTTTCTTTTTCCTTCTGGAGAGTCAAATGTTAAAGATTTCTCATCTCACCTCTGGACATCAGCATTTTGAAGGAATAACTGAATACGGGATATAAGAGAAGGAGAAAGCAAGGATGACTCTGAGGCTTGTGGACACAGTCTGTTTACTGTGAGAGAAGGGTCGGGAAGGACGCAGGAGGATGGAAGTTCTGGTTCCATCCCAGAGACAGGAGGCAACACGACCTTCAGGGTTTGAGGGGTAGGACGTTTAGGCAACGAGGAAAGAGAATAACTGTTCTTCTTAAAACCATGATGGCGAATCATTTGTATTTTAGAGGTGAAAGAACCTCAAATGGTGGAGAGTCCAGGTTGGGGGAGGTCCTTCCTGCTCAGAGTGATGTATGACGATGCAGCTCTGGGGGCCTCGAGGACTGTGAGAAGATCTTAGGAGTGTGGGGGCAGGCAAGTCTCCGTGGAGGAGAGCCATTTGGAGCAGAGTCGTGGAAGATCCCAGCTGGGTCTTCTCTTAGGCTGGGCCCCGCAGGGGGGGAAACAGGCAGCAGAGACTGAGGGTGGTACCCTGCAAAGGAGGAAGGAAGGAACTGTGGGAACTGTGTTCATATTTAATGATCTGATCATCATTCAAGAAACGTTGACTGCATGCCTCCTATGTGCCCAGGCTGTTCTCCTCGTGGGATACCTGTCTGAGAGGCTGGGCAGCCCCTGAGAGAGGTCTCTGCCCCCGCAGCCTCCTCCCCAGGCCCTGATGCCCCTTCCCCAGCCCTTCTCTGTCACATGGAGGGTCAGAGCAGGAGCAGCCCTCAGAGCAGCAGATCCAGGGTTTCTCCCCATTACCCTAACATGGGGATTCCTTTTGCCCCCACGGAGCCCCAGGATTCAAGGATCAAGAAATGGTCTCCAAGGAAACCACCCTCTCAGCTGCTCCTTATTCAGCAGCCTCTGTCCACATGACTGCCAGGAGACACCCTTTGAAAACCGCCGATCCAGCCTTCCTCCTACAGGACCCCACATGCCTCCTGGGAGTTGGGTATCTTTGAGAGGGAAACCCCATCTCTATCTCCTGGTAGTGAGGGAGGTGTGTCTCCTTCTCTTAACTCCACGTGGGCCCCGACCCTGTGTGATGTGTAGACTTCCCCCAACTGCTGACTTTGCTGTTTCTGGGACAGACCGTGTCCTCCCCACCCTTGCCCACACCTTACGGTCATACGCAATGCTTCCTGTGGACAAAGATGACAGAGACACCGAGCACCAGCAGCACTTTGTGGCCTAGGAGCAGAACTACCAGCAGAGGGGAAGTCAGCTCTGGGCCTGGAAATCCAGAGACAGAAGGTCTGATGAGAGGGGCCGCACAGGAGCCATTCCCTGGGGCCCCTACTTACTCCAGCTAAGGCCACCTGGGCCCATCAACACTCTGAGGTTTAACCTGCCTCCTCTGTCTTCCATGTAATCTCGAGGCAGAAATCAGTATATAGAGTCCCTCATTCTCACCCACTCCCTCTTCAGGCTGTAAAGCTCCTCATACTTGAAGGGAAAATGTCAGAAGTGAAAAGAACTGAGACAAGGGAGAAATCAAATCCTAGTGCACAAGCCTTCACTAGGCAGCCGTCCCCCGCTCATCCAGCCGCCAGGAAAGGACAAAACAGACAAGGGCAGCTACGAAAGGAACATGAAAGTCCCATCACCAATATTAAATCCAACCTAAATTTGATGATATTGGTAAAAGTCTCCTGTAGAGCAGAGCACAGCTCATAGGAAGTGGTTTCAAAGCCTGCCTGATTCAAGAGTTGACACAGAATCCCCAGAGTCTGTGTAAAGGTTACCTTATAGGTCAAAAGACATGCGCACTAGTGGTTAAAAATCCTGAGATGAGCACATGATTCGGGATTTCCCAGAGGAGCTCATCTAATCATAAAGATTCTTGTAAGCGAAAGATGGAGGCAGGAGAGTCAGAGCAGGAGATGTGATGTCAGAAGCTGGGGCCGGAGTGATGTGGGGCCCTTTGCTCAGGGGTGTGGGCATCTCTGGGAGCTGGAAAAGGCAAGGAAATGGGTTTTCTTCAGGAGCCCTCAGAAGGAGCACCGCCCTGCCACCCATAGTAGGCTTCAGACCTCTACAAATGTGTGACGACAAATTTCTCTTGTGTTAAATCTGTCAGTGTGGTAAGTTCTCAGTGGCAGTAAGAAGCTAATTCAAGGAGGACAGATGGGACTGAGCAGACAGGCATGATTTAAGGTGCTTGCTTTCTGTAGGGAAAAGGCAGAGAGAAAGAAGTGATGTTTGGTAATTGAGTAGGGAAGGGAAAAAGAAAAAAGGAGGGGGAAGGGATTTAGTTCCTGAAAAGCAGAAAAGGACCAAACACTTAGAGGATTCACAACCTTTCTCCTACTATTAAAACCAAGCAACCAACCAAAAATTCCATTAACATACTGGGTTCTGCTGTCCTAAGAGAGAAGTCCTC